TTATGCTTGCCTGGACACATCCCATTCTGGAAAGAGAAAGACAGTTTACTGTTAGCAATTTGCAATAAGTTACACTGCATTCTCAAGTGTGTTTATTCTCTATTGATAGTTACAAGAGAGTCTGGTCTAATTCTAGGTGAATCGGGAGTTGAAGAAATTACTTGTTGCTTCTGTTGGGGATGATCTGCAGTATCACTTTGAACGGATGGCTCGTGAGAAGAACCAGCTCATCCTAGAAAACGAAGTCCTGGGCCAGAATATGGCTCAGTTGTCGGAGCAGTTGGAGCGCATGTCTATACAATGTGATGTGTGGAGAAGCAAGTTCCTAGCAAGCAGGTATTCCCTCTCATGGAGCTGTCCTAACAGCATTCTCCTTCAGTCTTTCATCACATACACTCCTTGCAGTGTGGTTTCAAATGCAGAGGACAGCTACAAGAGCCATAGTGATACCTACTGTGAAATCTGAGAATACAGGAAAGGTATAAAGAAAATAAGCTCCTTGTAAATCTGAATAGTCCTGCTTTTCAGAGCTAATACAGTGAGTCCTAGCCCTCCTAAAATCTCAACTACACCTCTTGTCAAGAAAGTAAGAGAAGCTCTTAATGTTGATAAAAATGCATGCAGTTTAGGGTATAAAAATGTCTTCTAAGGCATTTGACTTTTCTTAGTTAGGTAGTTAGTTGATTTTTACCCCCACCCCTCAAGAATGGTACAGTCATCAATTTGAGAAGAAGCTGATGTGTTTAGGAGCTCTGCTTATAGTGAGTTGGCTATCTGCTATAGAAGAAAGAGTAGGGCGACCTCTTTATTAAACACTGGCTGTGTTACTGCTCAGGACGTTACTGTTACTTCTTTAACCATAAAAGCATGTCTGAAAGTCAAAATCTCATTTGACAGTGACTTTAAACTTGCTTAGTTGTCTTACCAGATCTGTAAATAGTGTTCTAGGAGTTTTAATTTTCTACTATACTTGGATATAATTGACTGAATTATGATGCTTAATGCATATCATAAAAGACCTTACTGCTTGAAGGAAATGGCAATAGAATACAGTCTGCTCCCTTTAATTTGCTGGAGAAGTTTCAGCATATGGGGTGAATGGTAACTTGTGTAACATATGGGGTGTAACGGTAATTGTAAGTCTTAGCAAGAGTTACTAGGTAAACTTGGAGGGTTTTTAACATTATGAGGAGCTCTGACATCAGAGCTGTGAGTCTCAGCAGTGTGGTTGAAGTAACACTCTTCAATATTGTAACATTCTGGTTCATTTTTATCTCCTATTTCTAACTGGTGGTTATTTAAATGTTATTCTGGTTTTTGCATTTGGAATATCACAGGCATTTGAAATGCCTGTTGGAGGGGTAGTGCCAAGCCTCATGGTATAGCAAATGTGACAAAGCTGTCTCCTTTGTAGCTCTTAAACACTCATATCTGGCATCTGGTGATAGCCCCTGGGTAGGGCAAAGAGGTAAATGAATGCAGTCTATAGCCATAGCTTCCATTTTTAGAGAAGAGTGAACAAACATGATTACAACATACTTGTGAGAATTGTTAATAAAAGAAAAATGTATTTAGCTTTTTCTTTCACAGGAACCTTGTCAATGTACACTTTCTCAAGGTGTTTTTTTTTTTTTCTGTTATTAGATTTATATTAAGTGACCTAAGATTGTTTAAACTCAGTCAAAACATAATCTTGCACTGGTGTTGGCTGTAGTTGAACAGAAATTATTCTTAATTAGGTTGATATAGGCTCTGCATGGGAGAGGGGACAGAGAACAGCAGACAGTTTGAGCAGACAAATTATGGTCCGTAGTAGAAAAATTGACTTTCAAGCTGTTCACTTGCACTACTGACTGGAGATTTCCTTTGCAGGGTGATGGCTGATGAACTGACCAATACCAGAGCAATTCTTCAGCGTCAAACCAGGGATGCACAAAGTGCAATCCAGGACTTGCTGAATGAACGTGATCAGTTCCGTCAAGAGATGATTGATACACACAAGTATGATTTTTCCAATCCAGATTACCTCTGTGCAAACTTCATTTTTGTCAGTTTATTTTAGGCTAGAGGAGAATCAAATAACTTTCCCTTCTTCCTGTGATATTCCACAAAAATCAGTTAATGCTGATGTATAATATGGTCACTCTCCAGTCTTAGAGCTGAAAGAGCAAAAGTAATAGAATACTTGCTTCATTCTCTAGAGGTCTGAGGTTTTAAGGGTAATAAACTGTGGAACTGACATCCCTCACATCCTCAGCCTTTCTTTCTTTAATCACTTACTGACTTGACTTCAAGTCTTCTCTGTTTCCTTGCAAAATATCAAAGAAGTGATTCTTCTACCTACATGGACTTTACAGTGCTTATTCTGCCAGATGTCAAATAAGTGTTCCCAGGATTAATCACCTGTGTTGGTGAGGCCTTGTCCTGGAGAATAGCCCATTTGTCTCCTTGTTCTTAAACACTTTTTTTGGTCCATTTCTTTGGTTTAAGATTTAGCTTATGCAGTAAGCCTTGGGAAGAGATGATTCCTCTGAAGTATGCTGGGTGCTGGTTATACAATATATAATACAAACCGCACTAGCAGTGCTTCTTTTCTTTCTGCACAGGCTGCTGGAGGAGCTCATGGTCTCTCTTCAGTGGGGGAGACAACAGACCTACTATCCTAGTGCCCAGCCTTACACTACAACAGAGCTAGCAGCTGTGAATTGTAAGCTAGCCAAAGCTGTAAGCTCACATCTTCTAGGAAATGTTGGTACTAACAGTCCAAAAAAGACTTCAACAGCTGTGGAGTTTTGCAATACCCCTGCTGAGAAAATGGCTGAAATGGTAAGAGCTCTTGATGCATGTTAATCTTTATATTAAAGTTCTGGGTAAAGAGATGTTTCATTTTCACGTTGGAAAAAAAGATGACAAATGGCTTTTGAGCAGAAATCCTAGCTCTTAAGAGAAGGAAAAAGCACATTAAGTTGCATAAAAGTATTTTCAGTGTCAATTTTTCCATCCTTAGATGCTACATGTACTGGATCCAGCTGCACATCCAGAAACATCAACAGAAGTTTCTTTTTCTGAGACTACTCCATCTTCTTTCCTTTTCACAAAGAAAAGCATTGGAAGGTTTCACCCATATACAAGATATGAAGATGTCACCTTCAATTGTTGCAATCACTGTCAAGGAGAGCTGATAGCCCTTTAAAAGCCCAGCCAAGGAAGCTGCACCTGCATTCTTTCTGAAGAATTACACTAGCTGATGTTCAGCAGGCTTCCCTTTGTCCTTTTTCTGTAATGGGTGGGTTTGGCATTGGAAATTATTCAGTTTCTGCTTCTCTACCTCTTGAAGTTAGGGATTGACAGATTTCCATAGTCTGTGCTTCTACCACTTCTCAATGGGGAAAGCTGCTTATTTTCTTATACAAAGGCAAGACGAAAAACATTATGCTGGTCTAATTTATAGAGCATAGAGATGCTCTTGACTATTTGACATTTATAGTCTTATTAGCAAATCTTAATGAATTTCCCTTTGGAGGGAGACAGAAGTGTAACCGTACCAAAGCAAATGAAGTGCTGATCAATTATGTCTAAATTTAAAAATAAAGAAATGGTAAATGGTTTTTAATTTTAGCCAAGGTAATGAACGGCCCTCAAGTCTATGTTCTACCTTTTAAATTTAGTTATAAAAAGGAGTATGTGCAATGATTCTTCATAGCTGTAAGTTCTGAAAGCAAGAGTATATGCAATGTCAGCCCTCCTGTCAAAGAGATAAAGCTTGAATGAACTCTAGCTATAAGTAGTAACTGCTTTCAAGTGGGTTTTAGAAAACTCTGTGGGGTGAGGTTTTTCTTGTGTTGCCGTAGAGCTGAAATAATGGCTTTTTCATTGTTTCAGCTTCTAGAGTGAAGTTGCTGCATAGCTGATCCTCAGCAAGGGCAGATTGACATACTTCTTTAGTACACAGCATTGAATCCTGGCCTGGCATTAGGACTCAGTCCTTGCCCAAGGTCTTCCTGAGTATTATGGGAAGGTGAAGACAAGCACTAAGTTTGCATAGGTACTGTTAAAAAAAAGTATTTTTTTACCTGTATGACTTTATAATCTTGATGTAGATTTGAAGTTCTTTACATAGGTTTGAAGAGAACTTTTAGAAGACAATCTGCTAAATCCAAAGAAGCCTATTTAAGTTTCTTAGTTTGACCCCCAAATTTACCATATGAAGCTGTCTAGTTTAGGGAGAAGGTTTCTGAAATTGTTGCTTTTACCCAGTTTTCCTTTGGATCTCATACCCAGGATCAGAATATGTAAGCTGTAAGTTCTTGCTGTTGCTGCTTCTGATTTGGTTTACATGAAAAAAACTACAATAAACTTCCTTTGCTTGCTTTCAAGCTGTAATTCTGGATTTAATGAAATCACATTTCTGACCCTGATTTCTCTGTAGCATAAAGGGAACTAAATGACATTGAATTGCAAAACTCTTCACTCTGCTGGTGTGAGGCACTGAGAAGCATCTCTTTTGTAGTTTTGTACAATGAGGGAGATGGTGTGTGTGAACCTTTGCAAACATTCCTCCTGAATTTGCTTGCTAGACACAGAAAGCTCTTTGTGCCTTTGGTGTCAGAGAAAGGTACTGGGAGGAGGAAGGCACCTGTTACTTACATGTCCCATGAGCATGTGAAATTTTCATTTTGTGTCCATGCTTGCTCTCTATGCTGGCAAAAGCTGCAAGAGAGCAGCCTCCAGTCCAACACCAATGCTCTCAATATGCCTGTAACTAGCCCCAGAAATAACCGAGAAAAATACTACCAGCAAATCAGCTTTGCATCTACTACACTGCTGTCTACTGCAGTGCTCCCAGAAAACACTGTGAATGCTGAAAAATTTCAAAGCAATGTCAGGATCATGACATCCATTGGGGCTTACAGCTGGACAGAATGCTCTTCTTTGTTCACTAACTTTATGATTTCATGAGTGATTTTGGCATGATCTCTATCAAGAGTTCACAATTTAGCTGGGTAAAGCCATGTACTTTGGTAGATTTATTATAATAAACATTAACATTTATATAAGGATCCTAGCTTCCTTACTACTGGAAAAAGGTCATAATTGGAACAAGCTTTTAATTCCATGGAATAGAGAGCTACTGAATATGACTCACAGAAGTAAGTTTCAAAACCTGTTGCATGATCACCTACACATTAGTCTTCAATCACCGCTTTCCAGAAACCTAAAAGAACACAGTCCTCTGGTCTAGAGTTGGTCAATGGATCAATAGGAAGTGGTACAAGAAACATCATTTTCCAACAATATAACACCTTGCACAGTCAATCACTAGCAGTATCAAACAGCAATATTAATCCACCAAAAATTTAACATTTTACACAGTAGCCTGCATCCAGGAATCCATAATGAGTATAAAGTGCCTTTTAAAGAAGGGAATGTGTATTTGCCACCCTCATTTATACATCTTGCACTGATTTTGATTTGGTTAAACCAAGAAGATCCCTGAGTTATGCATTAAAGCAGGCTTTTTGACTAAATTACAAATAAATAGATAATAAAATCATTGTCACTGAAGGTAATTGTTAAAACTTGCTTGAAAGCTTTAAAAACACAACAAAAAGTCAGTAGCTGTAAAGGACAAAAACTCAAGCCATAAAAATTAAGAAGACTGTCACCAAGAACTCTGTGGCTACATCAAATTTTCAACTGTAATGATCTGAGAAACAAAAGAATTTGGGCTCTGAATTAAATATAGTGGATGTTCCGCATTTGTTTTGCTCTTCTGGCTTCTAATCTAAGCTGCCTGGCTCTCTCTTTAGCAGCTAGTTCTGCTGCTTCTTTCTCTTCTCTCTTCCTTCTCAGCCATCTGTGGAGAGAGAAAGAGGATCAGAAGTACTGGCAGTTGTAATTTCAAGCTTTACATTATCCATTCAAAGGAGATTTGTCCCCCACTTAACTGTGGCCCACCATGTCTTGTAGGGTGAAGTTGGGTGTCATGGCTGAGACAGTCTAAAAGCCTGCCATACCCAAACACAGGAAGCACTACTTTCCCACCCCAATTCCCCTCCTTCTGTATCCACCTTTACCTCCCCCCTTTTGTTAAACTGGATTAGCTTTATGCTCATTTCATGGAGTGAATCAACCCAAGGTCGCTCCAGAACAGGCAACAAGGGTTAGAGGAGAAGATCCCTTTTTCAGCAAAAGTAATTCACTCTTTTCCGCTCAGGTTCTGACAAATAATTTCACAGCAGTGAACAAACAACATCAAGGAACTGATGTATTTTTTTTAGGGTGTAAGTTTAAAAGGGCATATTCATATGAAAAAAAAACCCTCCAAAACAATGAGGACTTCCGTAGCAAAGATATACCATAAGATAGCTACAGTTTGAGATGATAGACTAGAGAAGTTTCAGATGTGGTCTCTTAGGAATGACCCTACTCACTCTCTAAAAGCTCTGTCACAATCCTCTGGGCTTGGATAAAAGGCCACTTCTTCAGTTTGGCGTCTCAAGACTTCTATCCGTCTTTCTCTCACATATTGCTGGTGCTTTTTTTTAAGCCATAAACTGTAGGCTTCTTCTGGATCCCTGTGTACCTCCTAATCAATAAAAAAGACATATATACACAAGGGTTATCAGTAAATAATAAGTAAATCTCATTATAATAAGGGTTTTTTGTATTCTGCTGGCATCTTCCCTCCATGAAATACACTTCATAAACACACTAGAGCATATGCTAATCTGGCATAGAATATATACATGAGCAAGCATTCAAAGCACCATGTCAAAAAAAGTACTGAATTTAGATTTTTCTTTAGAACAGCATCTGAATCTCCAGGTTTTGATTGGGTCATGTGCATTAACTGCTTACTAACAAGTTCTGATGCCAAGAAACACACTCCAAGTAGTCTTCTTGCTGCTTGCTCACTCAGGGCTCAATCAATCAATCAATCAATCAATCAATTAATTCTCCTGGTATATGGGAGCATCACTGTATCCCCTGTGATTTTATAGCTAAATTCATGTGTGTTGCTTCTACACTGCAAGCCACTCTGCTAAGCAGATCAATCATAAACCTGCAGGTCTACCTCTTCACCGAAAACAATGTAACAAGAACATTTCCCATTGCTGTAAATTTTCACACATTTAGCTAAGAAGGCAGGTTTAGAATTTGGCTTTCCTATTTAACAAGAGCACCACAAATCCCAGTTCCAGATTAGGGAGACCTTACTTTGAGCCTCAGCTCTTCCAGCCGCTTTGCACGACGAATTCGCTTTTCTTGTTGAACCTGTTCTTTCTTCTTTTGTAACCATGCTTTAAAAACTATTTCGTTCTGTCTTTTCCTCATTTCTTCTAGTTCCTTGTTCTTTTCTTCTTCCTTAGGTGGAAGGAAAACTGAATAAACTTGGTTTTTAAGAGAATGATCCTAATCTGCAAAGACTGTTGCAGGCAATAAATAAGCCATTTGAATTGCATGAGAGACACACTAAAATACAGATGAAACAAGAATACTCAAAAACTGCACCACAGCTGATACAACATTTAGGAAAAAGTTGCTTGGAGCACTTCTGCTTGTGATATATTCAGACACTTTCAGTCTAGCCCTTTTTGTGATTACCTCCATTTCCATGACACCTCTTGACTAACAGACATTCAAATAGCATCAGGCAAAAACTCATAAAATTAAGTCTGCCCAATATCTCTAGTTAGCTTAGAATCACTTTAAATGGATACATTTTAAAAATAAATGCAGCTCTCTGGCTTGATGGACCACTGAACCCTAAAGGATATTTGGCAACACATGGATTGCAGGCACTACCTTATTTATAAGGACCTTTTTTGGACATGAAGTTGCAATGTATTGACTTAAGGAGTATTAATAGCTTCAGGCTTTTTTCAAGTGCGCAAGTTTATATTTACAAAATTGAGAAAAGTTTCTTTTACTTATTAATTACATTTTAGCTAAGGATAAGTATCTACAAGGAAGAGAAAAAGTTTCAATATATGCTCCAGAAAGCTAATTAAGACATTTTTTACCAGGATTTACTCTCCTTGACACAAAAGCTATAATCCCAACTCATTTCAATACTTCGAGAAATCTAATCTTGCAAATAGATGATCTTCCTCCCACCTACATACAACTTCCTTATATCCTCCAAACTTACCACTTCTAATTTACTGGAATGAAAGAAACGCCACCAAAATGAAGCAGACAGATTCTAGTAGTCTTGTGTGCACAAAAAAAACACTTCAATTGCTCATCAGATTTCATTCCCCTCATTACTAAGCTGAGCCTCAGCAACCTTTTCAAATAAAGCAGGCTAGAGCTCTTTCCACAGATAGAAAGTAACCTTGCAAGCTACTTAGCCAGCTTAATTAGTACATCATGGCAGAGAAAAATGGCAGATGCTTCAGGCTCCTTTTATAGAGTAACACACATAACATACCTTTTTGTAATTGTATCATTATAATGCAAAAAAAAGAAAAAAAACATCAACATATCAACATTTTTAAACTCTCTGGTAAAGATTTCTGAAGTTCTCATTACAGCTATCAGAGGCTGACTCTCTATTGTATTTTTTTTCTGTGTAATGAGCTGAGAAAGAATTAAAAGGGTTCTTACAGTCACTCTGCTATGTAAATGTTATATTATGACTGAGCACTCTCCCGTGTGATAATTGCCCAATCCATACTTCTTCAGTACCCAGATGTGCCCCAGCCTTACTGTGGTTCATATAAAATTCCTGCACTGCCGTATAATATGTGCAGATGTGACACCATGTGCTACATTCCATGAACTGTGGGACTGTAAGAGAACCTAGGTAGAGAGAGAGCCAAGAAGCAAAAGCAGTAAGAAAACTGTAACAGAAGAAGGTGCATTTATGAAGGATGCATTTATGAAGGCGCATTTATGAAGGATGAAATAAATGCTTCATTTCTCCTCTGAGCAAGGCATGGTCCTATGCCACTCTGGGAAAGGAGCTTGGAAAGATTCTATACAAACCCCAGAGAATTATTGTTTTTATTATTGTTGTTGTTATTACTACTACAACTATTATTGCTGCCTCTTTTATCAAGGTGTTTTATCAAGGTGTAAATACCCTGAGCACATGGTCTTTGTGGAGCAGAGGAACAGGATGGTCACTGTGATTTACTTTTCTCTATATATTTACCCGTCTCTTCAGTGTTTCTTTCTTCAGTTCTATCTGCTTCCTTAATTCTTTTTGTCTGGGAGTAAGAGTGTAAGTGGAGCTTTTCGCAGGTATGTTTGCAGACTCAGTCTTCTGTTTTCCCAGACTTTTTGCACCATTCAAAGCAGAATCTGGCTGCTGGTTAGAGTCAGATGGAGGCATTTCTTTCCCTTGAGTGTCAGTGGGTTCTGAAGTCTGTTGGGTTTCAATATCTGTAAAATAAACACTTATTGGGGCCAAAATGCCCTGGCTTTCAATATCACATAAACTTAAGAGTTCAAACTTTCTATCTATTTCGATTAGAACTTTACCATTTGTCTTCTCCTCACCTGAGCCAGCACGTTCTGAAAGTGATGTGTGTTTCTGTCCCCTGTCAGAAATATTCAGCTGAGACAGCCCATCTGAAACGTCTCCTCTTACAAGGTCAGTGTTACCAACTTCAGCACCATTTGGATGAAGATCCACCTCATCCACAAATTTTAACTTCCGTTCTCTTTTTCCATGCACAGGAGCCTGATTTTCCAGCTCTTTGTTGGCTTCTTCAATCTTTTCCAAGACGTAACGCTTTATTTCTTCATCCTCTCCCTCATCCAGTTCCTGCTCATTTTCCAGCTTGGATTCCTGGATAGAGCTTTCTCTCTCAGCATCAGATTCATGGTCATCCTGTTCACTATCTGCCCCAGATTGCAAATACTTTTCATTAGAGTATAATACTTTCACATTTACATCTTCCTCTGAAAGCTGATCTAGATTTTCTTTCATTTCTTCACTGTCTTCCTGAAAGCTGTCTGATGTTTTACGAGTTTTTGCTTCAACATCCTCTTCCTTTTCTTCAGGATTCTAAAAAAATAAAATAAACTAGTCTTTTCTCTCAACAGAAGAGTTATCAAAGAAAGAGAAAAGAAACAGTGAGAGAGGAGTACAAACTATCTGCATTCTAAACCAGGTTGTCAAATAGTGCACGTCATAACTAACAGCTTTTTTGGCACTAACAAGTCTCTTCATTTTCTTCATGTTCACATTCACACAAAGTTTAACTAACCAGTAAAGTGATTAGTGACAGCATAAAACTGCAATGGGTGTTATACAAACAGTTAACGGAACACAGAAGTACTTTTGAAAAAAAAGTAACATTTTCAATGAACACTGAATTTTTTGCTTGACAGATATTAGAACCAAACTAACCAGTTTGCTGAAATGTTTTTCACTATAAATCCAAATAACTTTCCTTGTCAAAATTCAGTGAATGCACCTACACATTTCAAGCTATACTGAATTTGTGCCTATGATTCCAAATATTACTAAATTTTGTCTCCGAAATAACACAACTAGCATTTAATGTAACAAATACCTCTTTTTCACCAGGGTTTTGTTTTTCTTCTTCATCAGTTAGGTCTTTTTCAAAATCATCCTCATATTCTGCATTTTCTGTTGAATCACCGACATCTCCTTGAGCTTCCTTTTCACTCATTTTGATGATGTGTTAGAGTAATACTACAAAAAGGAGAAGAAATAAAACATTTTCAAACTCTAGTGACACCCACATCCAACTTGTGAGCAGTATTAATACAAGCATATTAGACAGTGCCACAGCACCTCAGGACTAAGGATCACCAATGGCTCATAAACATGACTGGTTTTGGCCTTTCCAGCTCTGGCTACTGGAAGAAAGTTTGAGTTAAAGCAATTCAAGGGGATTTAATTCTCTGACAGAGCTTAAACAAGAACTCATGATCTCTTAACAGTTAGCCTTGGGCTTGGACAAAGAGACCACTATTTTATGTTAGCTAGAAGTGCTACAACTTCTTGCTTGTATCTTACCTTGTTTATACCTTAACTTGTTTAAATCCAATATAACTTTAAACACTCATTAACATGTTAATCAGGCTAGATGTAATCATGCTCATGACAAAACTGAAGATGAGCAGGACTGAATCTTTTAAAGGACTGAATCTTTTAAAAAATCTTTGTACTGCATAGCACACAGCTGCCACCAGCTCCTGAAGGACTACTTAATTGCCAGTGCTTGGTGCTTCAGGCTGACTGCCTGCTGCCCCTCAGCTTCAGCTCTCTCAGTACAAGGCATCTAAGATGCAAAAGTTTAAAGATGCAGACACACTCACAAGCCTAGAGAGCTGATTCTGCTCTGTTTATAGCTTTAGCCCCTCATCATTCCATCAATAATTTATTACTTTTTACAAAAGCAGAACAGAAGAAAACATCAATTATTCAACATTCCTGTTTTTTGTACCATCTGCTGTAGGCTGGAAGGTGCCACTTCTATGTGTCTCTAGGAGAATTAATCTGTGTCATTTTCAATATACCAAAGATCATGACTGTTGTGACAGAACAAGGAGTAATGGGTACAAATTGAAAGAGGGGAATTTTAGGTTAGATATTACGATGAAATTCTTTGCTGTTTCAGTGGTAAGTCACTGGACAGGTTTCCCAGGGAAACTGTGGCTGCCCCATTCCTGAAAGTCTTCAAGGCCAGGGTGGATGGTGCTTTGAGCAACCTGGGCTAGCAGAAGGTGTCCCTGCCCATGGCAGGAAGGTCACAATTTGATGAGGTCCATTCCAACCCCTTAACATTCTGTGATGACGTGGCAAGACAATATGGGGTGTAAGGGAGAGCTCTGACTCTGGTTTGCTCTAGAACAGCAAGACAGCTCTTGCTGTGTGACCATCCTGCCCTTCCAGACAAGAATCACAGAATCAGAGAATCAACAAGGGTTGCACCTGAACTGTCAAATCCATCTAGGCATTTTGTAAAAACCCCTTCATCCAGCAGATGTTGCTTAAATTCTTCCAAGCTTTTGTTTTGAGTTCTGATGAGCATCTCTGTGTTCTCAGTCATTTATTCTCAGGAACACCAGCTCTGCTCTTTAGAACTCAGTATTTTATGCTGGTAAAGAGTGATGTTCTTTTAAGCCTCAAAGATTAGTCAAGATTTGGTTTAGAGTGGTAATAAAGCTGGGCATTTGCTGCAAAACAGTTTGTACGGAAACTTTTAAAAGCTCTTTGGTTTCTCTGATCCATATGTTGTTCAAGAAAATCTGTCAGTTTTTTCACTTCTTTTTAGCTACCACTTGCCACTGGAATCACTCATTTACACTAGATTTCTCAGAATTGAAATTTCAAGAGCTCATTCAGACTGTTGCCTTGGCTTTCCACACTGCATCTATTTCCATCATGTTTTTCCTGCAGCACCTCATATAACACGTAATGATTTTTGCTGGGAAATGCCCCTTCCTTTACAAATACCATTGGTTTGGGTGATGACAATGGATCTTAATGGAGATTACTTTGCTCTAGTGCATATTCAGCACAAAAAAACTATTTCTCTGTGATTTCATTATTATGATAAGCAGATACAAAAGCTGCACAGTTGAATTGTGCCTTTAAAAAAATATGTTCACATCAGTCTGTGGCACTCAATACAAACACATTGAACATGCTGCTTAATTTATTTAGGTGAAGTGTAATAATGGGGAGCAGCATAAAAATCAACTTCTTCTGTTGTAAGATAAAGTAGCCATGGCTGAAGAGAGAACTTCCAATTCAATTACTTGTTTCATGGAATCATACGAGGTTAAGGGTTTGGAATGGACCTTAACATCATCTAGTCCCAACTCCCCCTGCCATGGGCAGGAACACCTCCCACTAGACCAGGTTGCTCAAAGCCCCATCTAGCCTGGCCTTGAACAATTCCATGATGGGGCATCCACCGTCTCCCTGGCAATCTGTTCCAGGGTCTCAACACCCTCACAGTAAAGAATTTCTTCCTTTTATCTAACCTAAACTTCCCCTCTTTCAGTCTGTACTTATTTCCCCTTGTCCTGCCACTGCAGTTCATGACAAGGAGTCCCTCTCCAGCTTCCCTATGGGTCCCTACAGGTACTGGAAGGTTGTAATGAGGTTCCCACACAATCTCCTTTTCTCCAGGCTGAGCAGCCCCAACCTTTCCAGCCTGTCTCCACAGGGGAGGTGCTCCCGTCCTCTTACCAACCTCGTGGCCTCCTCTGGACTTGTTCCAACAGTTCCATATCCTTCTTATGCTATGTCCTTGTGGTGCCTTAGGGACACCAGAAAATCCTGAATCAGCTCCTATTCTATTTTGGATATTATGAAGTAAAGGGATTCAGCATTAAGAGGGACCGAAAGTATTCAGAAAAATCTCAAATCTTCATTTACACCTGCTTCTGCTCTACTTGGGTTGTGTCTGTGGTGGGTGTGCGCTGTGACCATTTGATCTGCACGACTTAGTAACATCTCTACGCGGTTACACTCAGGCACAGTCACAACAAAAGGCGCGACAGAGCGATGGATTTCTGTCTCTTTGTCCTGCACAAAAACATACACGCATACACAGATCCACGAACCCGAACTCCACGCGAGGCAGTGGGGAACGTCCTCACCAGCATTCCCTGCTCCCCTGGGACACGCCGGCGCCGCTGCTCCCGGCGGGGGACGAGGAGCTGCTGCCACCGCCGGGCGTTGCGGTTGCCGTGGCAGCGGCGGAACCGCACAGCGCCACGGCGACTCCCGAGGGACAAACGCCACCTCCCGAGCGACAAACGCCACCCCCCGAGGGACAAACACCACCCCCCGAGGGACAAACACCGCCTCCCAAGGGACAAACGCCGCCTCCCGAGGGACAAACGCCGCCTCCCGCTGGGCCCTGGCGCCCGCGAGTAGGCTGGGCCGCACCGCTCTGTTGCCATGGAGGCAGGCCTCCCCCCGCTACCCCCGTGCTCCCGTTTCCTTGCGGCACAATTCCACCTGAGGCTTGGAAATTGTGGGGAAGCAGAACGCTGAGGGGAGCGGAGGTACACACCGCACCAGGGGAGGGGCAGGAGTGCGGCAGGCGGCTCAGCCGAAAGCCCTTCTTTGATGCTGTTAAATTATGCATTCGTGAGGGAGCAGCCTCGGTTTGTGTGTTTTGTATTATTCATCACGCTCCGGCTGGCAATGAGTAATCGGATCAGCCCAAGAGGCAGCAGTGTCAGGATTTGGGCTTTTGTTAATCACAGAATCATAGAATTGCTTGGATTGGAATGGAATCTTGAAGCTCCAACCATGGGCAAGTGCCATGGGCAAGGACACCTTCCACAAGATCAGGCTGCTCAGAGCCCCATCCAACCTGGCCTTGAACACCTCCAGAGCTGGGACATCCACAACGTCTCTGAACAACCTGTTCCAGCGTCCCACCACTAATGAACACAGCACTGAATCTCCAGAGACACACCTCTCTGTGTTAACCTTGAGAGGTATGCTCCTTGAACTTGGAAATGAAAAACAAGAAAAAAACAAAACAAACACAAAACAAACAAAAACCCCACAAACAAACAAACAAAAAAGCAAAACAGGAAATGTCCTGAATTAATTCCCATCTGGGAAAAAAGAAAAAAAAAGGCCAAAGAACCCCACCCTGATTTACCTACCGAGCCAGAGGGGGGCTGGCAGGGGGAGAAGGATGAGGCTCCTCAGTGGAGTTGGAGGGAGGTGGCAGGTTGCAGTCTCCTCTAGAGAGAACGAAACACCCCACAGGTAGTGGATGCTGTGCCCCTGAGGCCAGCAGGACCCCAAAGAGCTGTGTGACCACCAGACTCCCCACAGAGCATACACAGAGCTCACTGCAAAGGTGAGCAGCTGTCAGCAGCCGTTCATAGTGATAAAGTTCATTCAGCATCACAAGATGCCTCCCAGCACTGAATTTTGGGGAATGACCCTCCTCAGCCTTCCAACCAGCTGGGTCTGCAGTAGCACAGACCCCTCTGGGGGGAAAGAGGGAGAGAGTGAGGGAGGGAGTTCGCCTCACCGGCAGCACTGAGGTGGTGCCGATTACACTGTCATGGCCGCACACCTCAGAGGGCAGCACCTCCCGTGCACTAAAGGGTTAATGCTAGTGAAAGAAAATACAGGCAGAAAAACAGCCATGAAGCTAGAGCTTTGATGACTCTCAGAGTAACTCAAGTAGGGTCCCCCTTTCACTCAAAGTCATATGGGACAGAAAAGCTGAACCCCATCAAGGCAGGGTTCACAAGTTCTCTGAAGACATCTGTCATCATAGGCCACATTCAATAGGAGGAGGCAGGACTCCATGATGACAGGGCTTCTGCTCATTTTACACCATACGGTGAAAAAGAAAACCAGGCTTTGACACTGGTTCTAGTGGGCTGGAAGGGGTCCCTTACACTTACCAGAGACAATGCTGTTAGCTGCTTGGCAATGGTTCCTGTTGTGCCTGGCAAAACTTCAACCAGTGACCTCACCCAGGGCATGCAGTTATCCTACCCTTGAAGGCAATAAGCTGAATTTCTGACTTTCCACATTTCATTTTGACAAGTTCATAGCAGTCTAAAATACAGAGAACTGGGTACAATACCAAGGCTTTCTACTCTGCTTTTATTGTAAGACTTATCCTTCATCTTAAAAGCCAGTGCTATCCTTTTAATTCACAAGAGATCCTTTATGCGACTAATTACAAATCAGCATGATTAAGACAAGGATTAGACCCTATTGTTGGGATGCCAAGCTGTGATATTTGTTAATATTAACTTATTGATTTAAGGTCAATCAAAATTGATCTATGCAGTCATTAACCCACATGTCATTAAATGTTGGTTTTCAGATGTTCCCATGTGTGAGGAAGCTGCAGACCATGGTTATGAAAAATGCAACGAAAACAGCAGTAAAGCAGTGCAGGGCTCCAAGGACAGATCCCGGCACTCGGCTGCTGTTTTCCTTGTCACTAATGCACCAGACACTATGTTCAGGCAGCAGATTCATGCACAGTGAGTGTGTTTCACAGAAAAAAGCTGCATAACATCTCCAGAGGAGCATTAAGCAAGCACTTTAACACCTTTTTTATGTAGTGTAGGAAACTGACACTGTCAAAAGCCACTGGGAGCAGGGTTCAAATCATCCAGTCTCCTGTCCCTTCCATAGTCAAAGTCCCTCTTTCCTTCCCAGTGCTTGGGTACGATCACACCAATAGAGAAGAAAACACAACCACTTCCACACAGAGCCCTTCCCTTTCCCTGAGAGCACTGCCAGAGCAGCAGACTGTGTCACACATGCACACAGCCACATCAGGGGTTGAGTGCAACCCTGCCTTGCCTTGGCAGGCTCTCACAGCCACTGCTAGCCCAGGGGGACAGCATTGGGTGCTGCTCCTGAAACAGCATCCTCTGGCAGCTCTTACTATTCCTGCCTTTTAGGGCAGAACAAGCCCAGCACCCAGTCCCTCACTGTAGCAGTGATCCCAAGAACTACACCTCATCCTACCAGCATCACAGCAAGCCCAGTGCAGGACAGAGATTCAGTTGAAACACTCACCTCCAGCAGCCCCCAGCATCAACTGGAACAAAGAAACAGCCCCAACACCCCAGGCAGACAGCCACGTGTAGTGTTTATCTCATCTCCGCCAAACGGCACTGCATGCTTTGTCTCCAGCGCAGAAATTCTGCTCCTTCACAGCAGCTGTGTGCCCCTTTCAGCTCTCTCAGCTTCCACGATGTGGCAGGATGTGATGGGAGGAGCAAGGATTGCCACAGTTCATGTGTACTTGCTTCACTTGCAGGAGAGAGCAGCCTTTCACCAGCACCAATGAGAAACACTTGAACCCACCTTAAGCATAATGCTATACCTGTATGACCTACTACTTATATCCTTGACATACGCAAGCAGATATTTTAATCCCCGACTCTGTCAAGAAACTCATCCCCTCACAGCTGACTCCTGTATTCACCCAGAAAAGCAGATGAATGAAATTCAGAACAGACCTCACATGTCAACAGTCCTATCCTTCAGCAATAAAGCTCCGAAGGAAGCATGTGTAATGAAGCCTCTCCTCCCCAGAACACCCCTTTTTTGGTTTTGGTGTTGTGCACAGGGCTTGTTGGGCTACTTATCCACACAAACCACTGTGCCCTCCACCCTGTACTATGAGGTACAAGCCATATCCAAGGCAGGGTGTGCCAGGATGGGGAGCTTACAGCATTTCTCCTTTAAGGCCTCAACTTTGCAATTAGGTCCATGTAAGTAGAAAGGTCTTCCTGCAAGAAAACCCTACACCTGCTTTCCTGTACTCTCACCCCCAGTTAGACTGAAGCATCCTGACCAGGGCTACCCTGCATTGTGAGTGATAATCTCCTTCTGCAGACCAGTCTGCACTGGAATTAGAGTGGTGCTTATGGACTGCTCAGCATTTAGAATCCCCAAAACAAGACACTTGCACAGAGTTATGCAAACCTACACAAGCCAGCCATCAATTATCAGCTTCTTGAAGCGTTGCTTCTTTTTGTATGTTTTGTTTTAGACTGTTTTTATTTACAAAGATGCTCAGAATAACCTGCAGCAGCAGTGCAATGATCAGCAGGGAATCAAAATAGAAAAAAAAAACATCTTCCACACAGGATAGCTCAGAGTATTTTTATTTAACAAAAATAGCTGTTTAATTAGAAACCAACAACATCCACATGGTTACAGGTTTTCCTAGGCATCACTGTTAACTCTGCATACAGCTCCAATCAGGCTCTACAGTCACCTCATCACCAAAGCAATAGCAGAGCTCAGAACCTGAATGACATCCAGGTTTGGCTTCCACACCTTGTGGGCCTGTGGACATACACAGCGTAAGAAGCCTTTCTACCACAGTTTCATTACTTTGGTACAAAAATCACTGATATTGCTGTAAGTCATTAGTTAATTTGTGACTTCCTTTTAAAACAACTGCGCTGTTCCCCGTCAAAGATTTGACCTCTGTAGGAAAAGTATGATTAAAATTGAGCTGCTCCTTTTGGTCACTTGATAGGAGTGCTGTGTACCCATTCCCCTTGCTTTGTTTCAACTGCCATCAGACCAAGAAACTCAAAGGACAGACTATCCCATCCCAGGACAGCTTATCAGCTAGCATTTCATGGCTTCAGATTTTATTTTTTTTAAAACAAAAAACCACAGAGAAAGGAATATTTACATGGGTGGCTTCAAGTTTCCATTTCAGGATAAGGCAGTTAAGTTCACATGTGTAAATGCCAGTGCAGCTGAGCCCCTCTTTAGGGGGCTGTTTCAAGAGGCAGTGTGCAGAAAGAAAAGTTTTTGGGGAGTGGGCTCCCCTGAGCAGCTGGCCTGGAAGGGCTCCCTGGATCCCAGGCAGCACATGCCAAACACATTAATCATGCACCTTGTGTAGTAAAGGCTGGGGCTCACAGAAAGTGATGGGAAGTGTCCCAGCCAGGGGGAAAACACCTTCCCAACCCCAATACTGTGAAATTCTCCTTGGCACTAAAAGCAGGTGATGAACCAAAGCTGCTTCTTCAGCTGAAAGAAGAAAGGAGCTCTAACGAACACACAGAGAGAAGGCATGGAGGGAAAGGCTGCATTGCACCTTCTCCCTTGCCAGCTCTCCTGTACAATTACACTCACCACTACCTGCACAGAAACAAGCACACTCCATAGGCATTTGTTGCTGTTCTGGTCACGCTGCCTGAGTACCCACGTGCCCAAGCCCAGGACAACTCTCTGCAACTCCTCTTCAGTGTTGAAGCAATTTGGAAAAAATAAAATATTTTAAAAAACCGTATGAGGCAAGTTCCAAATTGCTTAAACTGGACAAGAAAAAGGATTGCCCACTCTAAACATTCATTGTTCTGCTCATGTGGAAAGAAGAGGTAGAACTAGTGGACAGAGACCCACCAGAAGCATAAAGGCATTTTAAAATAACAGTGGAAAAATGACAGGCCATAAATCGTCATTTTCCAAAGCCTCAGGCAGTTATTCTGCTAACTACCATAATTGAAGGTGTCAATTTAATCACCACAGACACAATTCTCTAAGGGCACAAAGAATAACTTAAAATTCTGTGAGTTACCTTCCTTCTCAGTGTATGCTAACGTACACCATCCCTGAAACAGTCCAGCCTGTGGGTTGTGAGGCAATGACTCCTGTAATCACAGGAACCTGCAGCCCTAAGGGACAAAGGCAAAGTTATCCAAGGGTCCCGGGGATTAGCATTTTGCCCATTTCAACTTCCTCTAAGCTTCCCTCTAGTTACAGTCCTTCCTGGGTGCAGGCCTTTGTGGAACAAGTAGTGCTGCTAATAGCCCATCCACCAGTGCCACAAACTGCCCCAGGACACATGTTTTTGGGGAAGAACCATGATCAGCTAAGGTAAACCTCTGGCAGCAGGGATGATAGACAGAAACAGAAAAACAGTACAAGCTCCTCTAGGAAGCATGTGTGTATGCAGAAATGTAAGTGTACCAGTCCTTAAAACAGAGCATCCAGCATCACAGGGCAGCTTTAGTGAGAGCCACACTGCCAGAGCACAGTCCTCAGGCCACCTCCTATCCCAGGTCTGGGGCTCTCCACAGAGAGCTCTGTTAGCATGCCCTCATTTCTGCCCTGTAGCAGCACCTCATGACAGAGAGCAGCAGTTGACCAGACAATCACAAAACTGTCTGCAGATGGACAGCGTTAGACTAAAACCTCCCAAGGTTCTCATTCTTTGAGAAAACTTACTGTTCTTTGCTGCACATCCCATACGTGCAACAGAAGAACAAAAGGCATTTTAGAAAGAAGATATTTGTTCTTACTTATGTAAGAGCTAATATATTTACCTTCTAAAATGTGCTACTAATATAGTATAAATATGGATCATATACCATTAAGGTGATTGCCTTGGGAAGAAAAGGCAGAGATTAAAAACAGACCTATATCTTCATATGTAGTCACCAAGAGTCTTCGCTTAGCGCACTACTGGCTTTCAGGAGATCTGCTTTGCACCTGCTCTTGTCTTCTGCAAGATTCCACAATACTGCAGATGCCACTGACCAAGAACACCAGTGAGATGACCGCAAAGTAAGAGGCATAAATCATGAACTGCAGAGAAAAGAAAATAAAAAGAAGTGGTTAAACCAAGCAGTTTCCAGATTCATAGGAATGTTAATAAAATAAATGAGTTCCCTTCCATTCTAAAATATCAGGATTCAGTGGTTATTTCTCTGTCAAATCCTTGACCCAGAAACCGGTAGCTGACAAGCTTTACAGCTTGGTTTATCTTCCTCCCTTCCCCACCTCCCATCAATAAAGTTAAGAACATCTATCATACCTGGGTGAAGATGTCCAAGCCAAGCCCACTGGCATCCACAACAATCACAGTGAGCAGAGTCTGAAGGCCTAAGGCAATGAAAGTATTGACCCCAAACACCAGGGCATATCGCTCCACACTGAGATTTGTAGCAATCTGGAACCTGGAAAGAAAGAGATGACCAGAAACATAAGGGAAAAAGTAGAGGAATGCATAAATGGCAGGAACGTTTCTGGACAGAACAACTTTGCAACTTGAGGAGTTACATTGATTGGTTTCATATTTTCCACAGCTAAATTACCTTGCACAGATAGTGTCCTTTTCTAAATAGGATCACAATGGACTAACTTAATAGCTAGCAGAGACCCATAGACACATACAACCCCTTTTTTTAAAAGCAAACAAACAACCCAACACACCACTAAGGGAGCTGTGTGGGTTTCAGTGTCACTGAAGCAGCCCAGCTGTCTGATGTAAAGGGTCTGGTCACGTGGAGAAGATGCAACACACTCGGACCGCAGAGAGCAGCTGGCTGAATCTCAAAGCTTCAGTCTGTTGCTGTATGGTCCATAACCTTTTGCATCCTTCTAACCAGAGCTCCCTTTGCAATTGCCAGTTTCAGCATCACCCCTCTCCTTGTGCTTGAGCTGTCTTGAAGCGATTTTGTGGTTCAAAACCAGCTAAGCTTTCTTCCCCAAAGTGACAAATAATATCAAAGTAATTTTCCTACAGGTTAGGGCAAGTTGATGCTTCAATCCAGGCAAAGCATTGTCCTTTGCTCATCTGTTAACACTTCAAGCACATTTATGAAAAACATCCCCCTAGCAATCAGCACTATCTAATATTTAAAAGTATTCGCTTCAGTGTCACAAGATTTTTAATCTTGGGCACACTGCCAGCCAAATATATCTCCATGCCTCAGTTTCCAACCTGAATCACAACACAAACCCTTGCAACAGACTCTTGTTCCACAGGAATGGCACCACTTTCATACCAGCTGTAACCTTGAGAGCAGTTCAGGTTACAGAGATACTCACGTTGCTATTGTGATTAGCATCATGTAGATAATTCTGAAGACGACATAGGATGCATAACACACCCAGATGTTATGAACAGTGTCCATGACATACACAGCAGCAGCAATAAGAAGAGAGAACAAGGCAAGTGCCACTTCACCCCACACTGCCCAGGATGTTTTTATGTGACCCACAACAACGACTGCAACTGCTCCTGTGAGGGGAAAGAAAGCATAAATCTTAGTAATTACAGTTGGAGCAATTTGGAGATGGTGCACTAGGAGCTCTATAGCCCCTAACAGCCAAACATGAATGAAGTGGAGGGCACAAGTAGGAACACCTCAGCAGCTCTCCTTCCTGACCCCTCCCTCACCTGGAACACTGCTGTAAACTCCCATTTACTCTTACAGAAACAGGAAAAAAATACATGGGTCAAT